GTCTGATACCACGCTGTATTCATTTTGTAAGTTGAAGTTTCTCCTATTTGTATTTATTACTGTATTTTTCCAGAGGATAAATTTAACCTGTATCACACAACTATTTTCTATTTTCTAGAATAAATGTGTAAATGTTGTACATATCCTGCTCTCACTGTGCCCATCAATAATGTTGATTTAAATTCTTGTTTAAGCTGTGGGTCGGGGGGGGGCAGGACAGGGCGACACTGACTGCAGAGGTCAGACTGACAAAAGGAGTCACTTTACACAAGGAGTGGTGGATGCATGCAGCTGGCCTGTTGTGATACCTTTCAGTCTTGGGACCCAGTAAGCCAAGGACCAAAGGAGGATTCCTGGAGCACAGAGACAGCCCGGCTCACCCCAGGCAGCAGGGAGCTGATTCACAGACGACACAGAACTCCACTCGTACTTAAGGACAAAACTATATACTTTATTTCTTTTTCTTTTGTTTGAACATCACAATGACGAAAAATAGAAGCAGAATCTGTGAAGCGATATGCCAACATCCAAGAAAGAAAATAACCAACCGAACCAGAATCTCAGAAGATAAAACCCAATTTAGAACAGTGACCTTACAAAACTAATCTTTTCTCTGATATACATCATCATACCTCTTATGGCGCTTTATTTTCTTTTTATTTACAATATCCTATTTAATTCTGCAATAATATTAAAAAAATAAAACTTACACACAGAGGAATATCGTACAGAAACACGAGGGTGAGATGAAAGTCTTATATTTGACCCAAATATCGAAAGATGAATTGAGCAGTGGTCAGTGATCTGAGCACTGACCAATGGCAATACTGACCACCCTCTTCTCAGAGAAGGAAGTGGACAGCAATCAGAGCACTGACCACTGGCGGTCAGTAAGTAACACACTGACCACCCTCCTCTCAGAGAGGGAGGTGGGCTGTAATCGCAGCACTGACCACAGGCGGTCAGTAACGAGGACGCTGAGCACCGTCAGCTCCGCGCGCGGACCGACCCTGAAAAGGCTCAGGCCGTCTCCTCAGGAAGCAAAGACGGGAGCCGTCATGTATCCCAGCAGCCCTGTGGCGGAGAGGTGTGCGTCAGGGGTGAGCAGGCGTGTGCACGCTGGAGCCTGGCCACATTTTAGAACAAGGGATCGAGGGGGTCTTGTGAAAACAATCCTTCTGCCTTGAACTGCAGGAGATATTTCCACACGCTCTGCTGTGGACTGAGAAAAGTTCACTCTGGGGCGGCCTAGATACAGTCCAGCGCGGCCTTGTTGACAGATAAGGTAGTGTTTGACACCGGCCCCATGTAGGCTCTGTGTGGCCCTGGTCGATATACAGTAATATTGTGGAGTCACTCTGATATGATCAGTTTACATTTATAATGAAAGGTTTGAAACCAGTGTGGCTCTTAGATTCACGCCAGCCGTATCTGAATCCAGTTTAGTGTCTTGCACTGGCATGGCTTATATACAGTTACAATATAGTGTCTGACACCTTCGCCGGCACTGTACAGTGATGAAATGGTACCTTACACTGGAAACGGCTTCACTGCAAAAACACTGGCCTCCCAACTACCTGGGACAGGTGAGCCCTTCACCACTTCATTCCCTTTTCAAACAGCAGCAGCAGTGAAGCGCGCTTCGGAGCAAACGCGTGCGTTCGAGACTCACCTCTCTCTACCCTTTAACCCCGAAGGGTGAACGACCCCCCTCTCCCCATATGACCGGCGCTCGTTAATCGGAGGCCTTGGTTTGATAACGAATCGGCACACACCGAGCCGACAGCTCACGGGCAGAGATCACCATCGCCCTGACCAGACCAGGACAGGCGGCAAGTCTGGGCTTAAACAGAACCAGCAGGAGAGTTTGTGTCCTGGGGTTTTGTGAAAAGTGCTGAGCCTGGACACAACCCCATCTCTCACTGGCAGCGCCCACTGCCAGTCCAATCCAGACTGGTCCAGGCCCCCGCTGGGCACTGCATCCTGGCCCATTTCCAGTGCCAGCAGTCCCCAGCAGTCGTACGGCACAGGGGCGGCACACCCTGCTCCTGGGGAACCCCAGTCCCACAGGGTTAACAGGGCGACCCCAAGATCACCAGTATCTTCACGCCTGAAACAATCCTGTTCTGACCACTGAGACAACTGGCCTGTTCAGTGAAGCAGCTCAAGGAACGTCAAGGACCGCATCAGAGCACTCTGCACTTCAGCAGTCTGCTCACCCGAGCTCCAGCTCCACACGGACTGCGGCCTACTGCACCAGGGCGCTCAGAACCCGACCTGGCCAGCCCTTCTAGAACCAGACACTGGCTGAACCCATCCAGGAGAAATCGATCACTCCAGCCTCTCTCTCTCTCACACACACCCACACACAAGAGAGCCCTCATTAAACCAGCTACTGCACTATTAACAGCATTCAAAAAACGCTATGACCCACAACAATTAAATTTGCTCTTTAAATAAACATGATATGTGATTATGAAGGTCCTGGCATATTTTAGGACGCCCGAAAGAGCAGAAGCACGGACCAGGGGTCCTTCACCGCAGGGGACTTCCTGCTCAGTTTGGCAACCCTGCGGTTAGGAGCCCAGCCTGTGTCGATGGGAGAAAGCAAAGTAAAATTTCCCGTCTCTTGCGAAATTCCTCTCTCTGTCAGCACTGCCTCCGTCTACACATTTATTTGTCTAACGCTTCTGTCTTAAAGCATCTTGCGTTTGTGCCCATTGGTACAGCTGGGCAGTGTACTGGATCCCAGTCCGGCACCCTTTGGGAAAAGTACAACAGGCAGCGTCTCCACCCAGGACTCAATCCCACCGACTTCCTGATCTCCAGACCCCCATCCCTGCATCACTAACCTGTCGGCTGCCCTTTTCCTCTTACGGTGTCCTGTGGGGATCGAGCACTGTGCTCGGCGTTAGCGCCGCCCTCTGGTGGGCACAGCTGGGACTACATGCTTTCAGCTGCAGTGAAGAGGGGCCCAGTGATCTTCGGTCAGCACGGCCTGCTGGGGCTAGAGGCCGGAGCCCTGTCAGGCGCACAGAGGGCTCGTGAATCTCCTCTCTCTCGAACTCTCCGATTCCACATCCTATAAGATCAGTGGGGCCGAGGAGCTGAGCCGGAGGGGGGGGGAGGAGAGAGAGAGAGACAAGCTTGCTCCCATAATGCAGTGGGGTAGTCCATCTGAAACCCTTAATCATTCGCAGCTCGTTAGTGCAACAATCCGGGACAGGACAGCCCGTTTGAGAGGCGGTACCCTCCACCCCAAACGACTGGACCAGGATGGGGACGGGGCTACTGCAGAAACGCACGGGCGAGAGGGAGGGAGGGACGCAGCTCGCTGTCAGCACGATGTGGCGCATGTGTCTGTCCCGGGTGTGTGTGTGTCTGTCTGTGTGTGCGTCTGTGTGTGTGTCTGTGTCTGCTGCGCGCCCCCCACCGTCTCAGAACTCGTCGTCGGAGCTGAGCAGCAGCGTCTTCTCGTTGTCGCGGGCGCTGGCGGCGCTGAGGGTGCGGGCGGCGGCGTGCCCACTGCGCTGCTCCAGGGTGGCCTGCTGCGTGTACTGCTGGTAGGCGGGCGAGAAGTTGTGGATGGCGTCCTGCACGATGTCGCCCGGGTTCATGGTCTCCTTCAGGCTGCTGGAGATGCTCTTCATGGGGGCACAGCGGCCTGGGGGCGCAGGGAGAGAGGGAGAGGTCACACAGAGGTCACACAGCAGCCTGGGGGCACAGGCAGAGGTCACACAGCAGTCTGGGGCGCAGGGAGAGAGGGAGAGGTCACACAG